GCAATTGCTGCCAGTATGCAAGCTTTGTAGAAATGAAGCCTTTCTAGAGGCTGTAAAGCAGCTCCATCTAATCTGTTCTCTCACAGCTCACCACAGATCCTAAATTAATATATTATGGGAAAATGCTCACTCCCCAGTTCTTTTCACATACCTGGTGAGTTATGATGTGCACAAATAGTTCATTAAGTGCTTAAATTTGAACAAGATTAACCTTATTTCCCTTACAAATATGCCCCAAACTGTTTTGCTCCTGTTGTTTTTTCCAAACCAGTACAGCCCCAGTACAGGACACACACGTTCTGCACTGGGTAACATACATCAGAACTGTGTCCATTTCTTTTAACACCGTCATTTTAAAGGCTTCACAATTCCATTCCATCACACTACCTGTCAACAACAACTACACAGCAATTAATCACATGAAAAATCAGTTCCTCTCAGCTCTGAAATTCTGCTATTTCAATCCAGCTCTTTTCTTTCTAGCAGAACACATCTGCTCTGGGATGGGCAGATCAGGTCTATGCATGTCTGCACTCAGAGTGGATTGCAAGATACACCTCAGAAGCTGCTGCTATTCTGCACGCGTTATTTTGAAGTGTGGCTCCTGAATCCTAGGACTCTAAGCATTTTTACATAGTCTTTCTGCAATACTCTCACTCAGCTCAAACTCTCCAATTATAAGCAGCTCTCAAGCACCTGAAGCAGTTCTGTTTGAATTAGTAGAACAGAAGAAAACTGGCTCCAGGCTTCCATGCAGCAGCGCTGTCTTTGCACAGCTCTCATCCCTTCCTCCTCAGACTTCTCATTCCCATCCCAACCTGAGGGAGGACCGCCCACTCCAATAACAAGGGCTCTTTCTAAATGAAGGCACTAAGCTTAGAAAACATTATGCAAGTAATGACAGGAAGACGACTTGAGATTCCAGGAGACGGCTTGTAGCCTGAATGAAGTCATTCGCGCACGAGTATCTTCTAAGCACAAGTTTTCAAGTCAGGCCTTTGGGATCTTTGTTAACTGCCCCATGACAAGCAGTGTCGGTGTGTCTGTGGCATTCTGCAGCTGCCCACCAGGCCGACATCCTGCTAAGAGTACCTTGCAGACTTGCAAACAATTGTCTAGACTGCAGTGCTGACAGAGTGAGGTCATGGCTATCAAGCAGTACATTCCATGCAAGAGTGAAGTTTCCGTTTCTTGTTTTCTTTTTGGTGACACCAGCTCCTTGCCATCTATAAGGGCTTTTGTCTGTCCTGATATTCCAGACTGCTTACCTCATCCACCACTCAAGCATGCAAACCCTTTCAGTCTTCTGCTCTCCCGCAATACAGGAAGCAAATGTTCAGAGAACAGAAGAGGAAAAGGAGAGATCTTTCAGTGCACCTACGAGGTCATTTCTTGCACGGTGATGAACGTGGATAACTCTCAGGAAGGTTAATAGGTAGTTCAACCCTCCTCTGCAGCAGCACCATGCTAACAGAAGGCTGCCCCAATCCATCTGGTGTCTTGGAGACATCCCTTGTCAAAACACCCTTGATTCACCAAAAAAAGCAGACTCATAACAGCTGGAGGAAAAAAAAAAAAAATAGAGCCAATCTAGGAGGGCAAAAATATACATGCTTTGAAAGAACTGAAATAACAGAAATGATCACAAAGAAGCAATAGGAAAGCACTGCTCTAAGATCTCTCATAGTTATGCTGCTGAAGATCCACAATGACCCATCTCCTAACAGGAAAGACTGAAGATACTCTTCCAAAGTCACTGTCAGATAACCTTGAGCACTAAAATACATACTGGAGATGGAAAATGTGTTTCTATCTTATGACTGCAACCTTTGCCAGGTAATTTTATTACATTTTAGTAACTTTTAATAATCCAGTGCACTTAAGAATCAAGTATCTCTTTCCTGGTCAGTCTCAGATTAAATAATCTGCAAACAAACAAAATTACGTGGAAAAGAAAATCAAAACTTAATCACAGGAAAGCATCAAGAACAGGGCTGACAGATCTCTGGCATGGGCACTGTCATTGAAAATGCTGTAGGCAAAGCAAGTGGTGTGAGAAACCCCAACCCCATCAGTGATTGAACCCATTCACCCCTCCATCCCTCTGACTCACATCATTAAGGTCTGTTCCTCCATGCAGGAGGCATTGTTTGACAGGCCTGCACTCCCATTATATTCTTAATGCCATCAAGATATGGAAATGAATTTTTATTTCCATAAGCATTAGATCACAAAGCCATGAAAATCTCCCTCTCCCTTTTCAACAACACCCATATACTCTTCCATTTTGGCTAAGCACAGAACACCAAAGGCCAAGAGCCCCAAGGAACTACCAATGCGTGAGGCAGAGGCAACGCTCTATTGCTCAAATACAGGAGGTGTGCAACTCCTTATTGTCTACCATGGCCAAGTACTTCTTGGAAACTTTTACCCAAAAATAAAAGTGGAGTATGGATCCTCTGACCTCTCAGTGTAGACTTGAACAGGAATGATCTAGTGACTGACGTTCCTCATTGCCTAAGAAAAAAAACCCCTGTGCATAAGAAGCATACTTTATCATTTGAAAAGTCAACTAATGCTGCTATGTCCCCTTTCAGAGTCCAAAGAACAACAAGGTGTTTGCTTGTTCAAGTCATATCTGCGGCACAACGGCTGAGCAATGGAGTTAAAAGAATGGGGGTGGAGAATGGCAATGAGGATGGATGTACATCATCATGCCCAAGAGACTGCTGTTCTGTTGGCTTAAGAACTTCAGCCTCTGTGCTCATCTATCAAGCTGAAAACTCTGTGTTTGTATTCAGCTCAACCCTTTTCTGATTTATTTCTTGCCTACTTCAGAGCTTTAACTGCAAGATCAAAATTCTACACTCAAAAAAGTTGCACATGTGACCATGTTAAATCTTCATGGAATACAACAGTGTCATCTCATGTGAAAATTGTGAAGATGCATCCTATCAGTGCTTAACAAAACCACCTTCTGAAAAGAAAAATAGACCACGAGTGGAAATCCAATCCAGTCTAATTACCAGAGGAGGTTTCATATGCTAACAGGCTCAACTAACTTATCTTTCAGAAGATTCTAATCTCAAAATAATGGTTGTATATCGCCGCCTACCTCCAAAACTCCGCCACTATGTCTGTGTGCGCAGGCGCTGGGATGTGTTTTCAAGATATTCCACACACCCAGGGTTAGAATCTGAACTTATGGCACTGCTTCTGTTCACCTCTGTGCAGCACTGTGCCTGGCCTCAGAAATTGGTGCCTTAATGGATGCTTTTCACCAAACTTTCTTTGGGTGTTGTCAATACGCCGTCCGACAACCAGAATCTGATAATAAATTATTAATTATGATCAATAATTCAAGCTTTGAGTATAATTATACAACAGCTAACTGCATACAAAAGCAAGAAAAAGGTAGAATATTAATTCTCCAAAGTCTTATTGAAAGATGACTTGTTGGCAACTCAATTTTCAGTTCGATTGCCCAATGCAATGCATAAGACCAAAGAGTAGTGTCAAACAGGGGGCTGCATTCTACATGGAGACTGCATGGGATACAGAAAGTCAGCCTGAATACAGAAGGCAGAAAAGGAGTGAAACATCAGAGCAAAGGGAGTAAAACTACCACATCAAGGTAAAACTTTCATTCATGGCATCATGGAATCATTATGGTTGGAGAAGACCTCTGAGATCATCTATTCCAACCATCAACCCATTATAAATGTCATTAACAATGTTGAAGAAAAAGTTAATCCTACTTGAGCATTGCTGGGAAGATGTGCCACCACCAACGGGCCACAGAGGACCACAGCTTGCAGAGTGCTGTGTTTCACTCTCCAGATCACTACGATTTAATTGAAAGCAGAATCTAATTTGAGTTCATCAAAAGCAAAAAGTAAAACACCTCGACGACAGGCATAGAAAACACAAAGAAAGCCACCTCAAAGTTACAAACAATGGCTAGCAACCACACAGCATCTCCTAACGCCATGAGATGAGTACAAAGCTGCCCAAGAATTATTCACTTGTTTAGCCTTTCAGCCTAAGATTCGTAGTGATTGTAGAGAGAGGACATGAAGGTGAATCACAGTCTCTATCAGTTTTCAATAATTGCACCCTCAGCTCTTGAGCTCTTCTTGGCCCTTGGCAGCAAGGGCTGACTACCACTGCTTAGCATCCAGTTGAGGATAAGGAGCCCCTGGGTTAGCTGTAGAAGTGGTAGCACTCCAATGCCACAGCTCAGCATAGCAACCACCCAGGCTAAATAACTGACAAGTGAATCATGGTGTCCTAACAGATAATGGAAATACACTTTCAGCAAGCTGCTTGGGTCCAAAAGTCGATCAACTTGTTTGTTCTGCCTCCATGAGTTGGTAAGTCTCAACATGATATTTAAACACAAGCATGTACAAACATCAAAGTTCAATGCTGACTTTATTTTACGCCTCAAAGTCGTGCACCAGAAACCGCTCTGTGCCACACATGGAAAACTGGAGCACACAGGTGAGGAAGAGACAAAACACTAACCCAAACAACATACATTTTTCTTTAGCTGTCCTCATTCTGTACTTTTCTTCCTTACTCTGTGTTTACTCCCATTCATTCTCTCTCATGGCACAGTATTTATGCAGCTGTCTAATTTCACATGGTTCTTCCCTTCCCCTGCTATCCCCCTAAAGAGGAACAAATATGAAACCTTCAATCTCAAATCCTTGTTTGAGGGCTTCATGCACCCGCAGGTGATGACAATTCTTCAGCTTCTCTCCAAAACTTGGAGACAACCAATCTTTGGGCTGGAAAAATCCTTCACCTCCCCACTTCCCCCCCTCCCCCCATTCCATTACAACCATCCATCTACCAACAACTGACCACATCCCTCAGTGCCACATCTCCTTTCATATGGAGATGCGTTCACATTCCTTCAATACTACCAGGGATGGTGACCCCACACCTCCCTGGGCAGCTGTGCCAGTGCATCACCACTCTTTCTGAGAAGAAATTTTCCCTAATATCCAGCCTGATGCAACTTGAAGCCATCACCTCTGGTCCTATCACTGTTACCTGGGAGAGGAGACCAGCCTCTGCCTCTTGGTCAGTCCTGGCTTTTTGCTTGTTTGTTTTTAACTATCCCTGTCTGATTCACACCTGTACTTATGAAAACAGATTTCAAGGTACACAGCAGTTCCTGATGAGGGAAGGAGGGCAGCAGCTACATCTGCACCTCCAGGCTGCAGTGCAGACACAGCATTCTCCCAGTCCCTCTCCTTTCCTAAAGGAAACATGCAGACTAAAGGAGAGATGCACAGCTCATATTCAGTTGTGCTGCTCCTCCTTGCTGTGGAGGCACAGCCTTTGAGCAGTACTCATCTTACCTCAAACAGGGTCAGCAAAAGGCAGCACAGAAGTGGCTTCAGAAAGCACATGAGATGACTTGGCAAACAGAAAGCCACTGGGGTGAAGCAGAGCTCTTCCCACCCCAAGTCCCAAAGCAGGGCAGGCCCAGGTCATGGAGGTGAGTCCCCCTCCAGCTGCCCCTTCTCCCCTCCAGCCCCATGGTTCGGGCACAGCTCCGGGCCCCACATAGCAGCAGGTGCCCATTCCCACATCCCATCTCACCTTCCTGGCTCCTCGCCTGGCAAATTCCCGGGCCAGTTGGCGGCCGATGCCACGTCCCCCACCTGTCACCAGCACGGTGTCCCCAGACAGGTCCCGTAGTTTGGGTGGCAGCAGAGCACAAACGGCAGCTTTCAGCACCAGGTAAAGCATCTGCATGGGGAGCAGCAGCACAGCGCCCAGCCATTTCCAAACCATCCTCTTGTTCCGGGTGATGGGTGGCAAAACTCTCTTCCAACCCTTCACGAGACCAAGGGAACAGAGATGGAAAGCCAGCACCCTTCATGCACCCGCAGGTGGGTGACGAGTCTTCGGTCCCCCTCCAAAACTTGGGGGCAAGCAATTCTTGGGCTGGAAAAAAAATGGGGAAAAAAAAATAATAATAATTCCTTCTCTTCCTTCCTAAAAAAAAGTGGGGTGGGAGGAAAGCAGTGCAGGAGAGCTCTGCCTCTCAGTCGGTGTCCTCCAGGGTCGTCACATGCAGGTAATGCTGATCCCGTGCCTTTAACTGGAAGACAGTTTTGTAGGAAAACAAAAAGTAAAATTAAAAGTAGCCATCCGTTCCCTCCGTGCCAAAGGCCGACGTGCAAATCCCGTGTCCAAATGGAAGGGTTTTTGGTTGTTTTTTTTTTTTAATACTTGGAAAAAATAAAATAAAGCAGCCTATGTCTCCAAATTGCTGCCTGCAGCGCCTTCCAGGCGGCTCATTTCTATTCTTAGACTCAGGAAATCGCTGAAATGAGACAGAATTGCCAGGACTTTCTATTTAAGAAAGGGTCTATTCAGGGGAAGGTTGTTTTTGTTTTCCTATCTATAAATATCTGCCGGCTCTCCGTCCCGAGCGGCTGCAGGGCTGGGCTGCCCCTCTGCCCCCTCTCCTGGTTCCTCACCCGGCGGATCTGCGATCACAGAGCAGGAATTACGCCGCGCACTCCTTCAGCCCTTACTCATTTCTCCCTATTGCTCTCTCTGCCTATCGCAGCTGCGGCGCTGGGGAGGTTTTATACCCCATTAAGCCTGATTGACAGTTAAAGTGTCGGGGAGATTTCACTACTGTTCCTGTGAGTGGCTGGCTTAGCTCTCCCCTCCCCCGGAGCCCGGTTCCCGTTCTCCGGCTGCCGCCCGCGGTTCGGGGCTGCACCGCACCGCAACCCGCACGGAAGGGAAGCCCTGGCTGCCATAGAGCCGCCTGCCCGGCTGGAACCGGCGTCGGTGGGAAAGCTGCTTGCAGCCCGAGATGGTTGGGCTGAACCCAAGTCGACATCTGTCAGCACCCAGCCGATGGTTTCACGGACAGCTCGTGGGTTTTCCATGCTGGGAGATGCTGGTGTTGCCCATCAGTGGCTGGGCAGTGACAGAGGGAGATGCACTTTTTTGCATCGAGCAGTTTTTTGGAGAAGAGAAGGCTATGGGGAGACGTTGCAGCCTTCCAGTGCTTGAAGGGAGCTTACCAACAGGAGGGAGAGTGACTTTTCGCGTGGTCTGATACGATAGGACAAGGGGGAACAGCTTCAAGCTGTAAGATTTAGGTGAGATGACAGGAAGAAAGTTTTGACTTTGAGGTCTTGGCACTGCTGCCCAGTGAGGTTGTGGGTGCCCCATCCTTGGAGACATTCAAGGTGGTGCTGGATGGGCAGCCTGAGCCGGTGGCTGGCAGCTCTGCCCATGGCAGGAGGTTGGATCTGGATGGTCTTTAAGGTCCCCTCCAACATAAGTCACACTGTGATTCTGTGATGATTTCTCACTCCTTTTCCAAGACTTTTGTCCAGACACAAGAGCACAGTTGCAACACAAGGTCTCTGTAGCACTTTATGTTGTAACAGGAGAAAGGGCAGAAATGTTGCAATTAGGTCCCTGAGTTGTTTGTTTGCACTGTTAAGCGTGAGGTGTGTACGTTGCATACTGAGGAGGGTCTAAATGCACATTTCACACCATGGCTTTGGCTGGAGGGAACCTTAAAGACCATCCAGTTCCAACCTCTGCCATGAGCTGGTTGCCCCCCACCAGATCAGCCCATCCATGGCCTTGGGCACCTCCAGGGATGGGGCATTCATCACTTCTCCAGGCAGCAGTGCCAGAGCCTCTCCACCTTTGAACTCAGGGCTGCTCACCCCACATTACCAATTGTGGCAGCACCATCATAATCTTTAATTTAAAGTTTACAGGATGCCAGAAGATCCTCAGCGATGTCAACTTCACACTGCTGGTTCAGTCAGGCTGGTTTTGATGAGTGTGCTGCTAATAAGAGCGTGCCAAAATGAAGCCAACCCCAGAGGTGAATTCTCAATCTATATCCACTATCCTGGGAAGCCATCTAGTGGTAAAAACTAGAATTACTGAAAAATCATGGAATGGTTGGAGTTAGAAGGGACCATCAGGTCCAACCCTGCACTGAGCAGGGACACCCACAGCTCCATCAGTGCTCACAGCCCCATTCCCTGACCTTGGGTGCCTGCACCTCCTCTCTGGGCACTCTGTGCAGTGCCTCACCACCCTCACTGTAAAAAACTTCATATATCTCATCTAAACCTTCTTTCAGCTGGAAACCATTCCCCCTTGTTCTATCACAACAGAGTCTACTAAAGGCTCTGTCTCCTTCTTCCTTATAGCCCTTCTTCAGACACTGAGAGGATCCAAATGACAAAACTGAAGGACGTTCTCAAGCTTAATTTCCCCTACTGTTTACTAAACAACCACTGCAATGGAAGTGCACGAGTCTAAAAGCATCCACACACAGGCAGTGAAGTTACATTACACAGCCAATAGCAGTGAGCTAGGGAGCCAAATCCCTTTGAAAATAAACCTGATTTTATGCTTCATTATCAAGCACGTTCTTGAAACCACAGCTCAAAGCAGCCATTTGGTTCAAGGGTTATTTGGTGGCAAAAATAAGGACTGGATTTTTGATGCCTCCCACATTCAAACTTGTATCACGTATGGTTCTGTCAAGACTGAATGTGAACAATATCCAAATCCCTTCAACCTCAGCACCGTTAAAACTTCCACAAAGGTTTCCAGAAAAAGTAAGATTAAAAGAGAAGCTTGCAGAGTTCTCACCTTTAAATGCCAGTTTTCCTTTCATGAAGTAAGTCAAACGATGGTCACAACCTTGTCATACGGGACCAGGAGAGGGGCTTCTAGGGAGAAGAAGTTGAGCCATTGCAACTGCAGTCTGCAGAGCTTGTTCAAAACCAGGTATCCCCTAACATAGCTGCATCTGAAATAACCAGAGCTGTGAGAATTTCCATGGCTGCTTGGCAGCACTGAGCACTTCTGTGTGTTTTTACAGTTAGAAATGGAGCTGGGGGAGGCACCTGGCATTACAGCTTTCCTCTCAGTCCAGAAACTCTGAAGGGGAGAGAGAAATTACACAGAGAGCCCAGTGTCTGGCTTAAACAGGAATGACTCAGTGTCTGGACTGGTAACAAATATAACAACTTTTGGTATAGAAATAAAGAGCAGTGTTAAAAACAAAGGGATATGAAGTTCAAGCAAGGCTGGTTTTTTGATTCTTTGAAACATTCACAAGTCCTCTAATGCTGGTGGAACTAGTCCTGTGAGTATTTATCTGCTCCCCCATTAAACAATATTCTGAAATGTATTAAAAATGGCTGCTTGGTTTTTGGTTTTTTTTTTTTTCCATTCATTATGGATGAATGTTGTGCAAACAGGCAGCTGGAGCCAAAAGACACAGCTACATACTTAAAATGAAGTATTTTTATTTTCCTAACATCACCTTCAGATTTCAGTGGATGTATGAACTCTTTCACTATTTTACTGCTTTGCTTTGCATTCACCTCGAAGCAGTTGCAACCAGAAGCTCACACACTGTGCAACAAGAGCAAGAAATAGAGGTAATACAGCAAAACTGGAGTTAGTGCTTCTTGTCTGCAATAAACCTGGTGAAATTCATGCAACTCATTTTGAAATTCACCTGACTGAAGTGAAAAATCAGATAGCTTTAAATGCTGCATGTACTGCATTCTGCATGGACTGAGATTTGTCCTCTTGAATTGCAGTTGCATTCTGGAAAGTGGCAAAAGAGTATTCTGGGATTTCACCTCATTACTGCCTGGTAACCATGGCACGCTGTTTGGCATGAGATCTTTTTCAGACCATCTCCTCAACAAACCCAATGTGTGCCTCTGTTTAAAAAGCTCATCTCTTTTTAGTGAAACCCAAACCACGCTTTCATTTAGGTTTGGTCACTCTAATTGCTTTCAGTCAACGTCTTGGTACATACCTTGGTTGGTGAAAATGAGGGTCTGTCACATCACAGCAGTTGTTCCTGATGATCTCCTCCATGCTCCTACTCAGAAGTCCTTCCCCATTGCACTGCAGCTTTCCATAGGCAGGCCTGTTAACAGTGCAGAATTGCATCAATTGCTGACACCATCACTTAGTGCCAGAATGAACGCTGCATTTCAGATAGCTGCACAGCACTGAACCATTTGTTCCATGAGCATTCACCCCCAACAATGTACAAACTGCAAAACCCCACAATCACTTGGGTTGAGCCATTTTCATGGCATTTTAAACGAAGTTTGGTTCCATTTTGCACAAGAAGGCAGTCGTGCTGCACATCTCAGTGGTCACTCACTTTGTTTCTACTTCTGTTTGTCAGTGTTCGGGTTTGTGCTTCTGAACAGAAGCGTTGGGCTGTAATGCACTTTGATGAATCTACTGTGAATGATTAGGCTTAAATTTAGAATGACTCATTCCTGGGACCATGGCTCGAAAGATGCATTCATGGCAACCCAGCCCATGGCAGGGGTTGGAACTGGATGGGTTTTAAGGTCCAAACCACTAAACCACTCTATGATTTTATGTTTTCTGAATATTTAACCATGAGTGCCTAACTGCAACAGCACCAGCTTAAAGCTAAACCTGCAGTTCATACTTAGATAAGCTAGTTTAAAGGCAGGTTAGCAGCCTACAATAATTGAGACACAGCAATGTGTGCTAGCATGCCAGCAGAGAGTCATAGGAACATACTTTTCCTTACTTCCCTGTTCCTGAAGGAATAAAAAGCAGTGAAAAAGCAGCTTTTACCTGCGCACTTCCATAAAGAAAGGTCCATTTTTTGCAGAACAGACTTTTCTGGTTCTATAAAGAGGCCCAGGGAAGCCTTAAATATGGACATGTCTTAAACATAGAAAATCTGCAATACTAAAGTGTCCAGTAGTACCAATTTTTTACACCAATGCAGGTTCTTAACCATGGACAATCCATCACAGGCAGAGATTAAAACTAAGCCTCTTTTTAAAAATGAAACTCCTTGGCCAAGACGATCTGGTTTTTGTTATATGAAGTACTGCTGTCAGATTTGGATAAAGCAAGAGCTGTATTTTTGTGCTTCTTGATTTCATTCTTCCCTTGAGTTCACATTTTCCATTTGAAATGTGTCCCAGTGGTCCTATGATTTCACACTGTCCTTCTATATGCTATTAAGTATTAAAAGTCTGATATTGTTGCATTGTAAGTGGAATTTTGCCATGGACTAAGCTCACAGGGACCAGGTTTCTGTTCAGCTTCCAGCCTTGACAGAAAGCAGTCTGTGTCCTGCCTTGTGTGAAAACCTACATTTGGAAATCTGCTTTCCCAGGGTCTCACAGCAAATCAGCATTATGAATAGAGATACAGCAAACCCTCTACTGAGTGAGCACAAGTTCCAGATAGAACAGAAGAACCGCAGACTCACTCACTATGGTTGGAAAAGACCTCTAATCACCAAGTCCAACTGTCCACCTACCACGAGTACTGACCACAAAACCATGCCCCTAATAGAGCCATAGAATCATTAAGGTTGGAAAAGACTTCTAAGATCATCTAGATGATACGGCCTTTCTAAATCCAGTATGCGTAAAAACTTCATAAGAAGAACATTCAAAGTGCTTGTTGGTACTACCAGGAATTCAGAAAAAGGCATGCAACATCAAGGATGTGCTATTTCTTTCAATTGCTTAATTGTCTTTTTGCATATTAGATTTTATAATTTGTAATAACTGCCTGTCTTTTTTCTCACCTTGGTTTAATTAGAAGCCAAAACCATCTCAGCCTATTAAGCTTGTGTCCTCATATTGAAAGAGAGAACAGGGAGAAACACCACATGTTGGCAGGAATCACAGAATCATCAAAGAATCATAGAATGGCTTAGGTTGGAGGGGATTCTAAAGATCATCCAGCTCCAAACTCCTGTCATGGGCTGGCTGACCCCTACAAGAGGCTGCCCCGATGTCCAGGAATGGAGTGGCTGTGCAGTGTTAAACTGATTAACTCATCTAACGTTTTGTTTTGTACATTTGCCTCACCTTTACATCACTCAGAACTTGCCAGACCCTCTCATTAATCCCTCAGTCCTGACAAAACCTCTAACACACAAGAACTGGTGAAGAATTAAGCCCTTAAGGCAATTAAAATTAGAGAAGGAGTTTATTGTTTCAAGAGTCTGAAGTGAAATCTGACTAAACCAATGTGAAATGGATTCGGACAAAAACTGAACAGTAGGTTTATTCTTGAAAAATTTTGCACTGGAAGCTTGTAAACTAGCTAAGGGATAAGTTTGTAGATGAAATCTTCTCTGAGCCCTTACGAACAATGCCTTCTTTAAACACTCTCATTAAAAGTGGTTATGATTTCTTTCCAAAGCCAGTGGTTCAGTAGAACATATGAAGAAGAAAATAATCATCAATGGAAAATGCTTTTGGTTGGAAGGGAGAATGGATCAGCTTTAGGAATATAGGGAAGTAAGATCAAGTTACAAATCAAATGACGGGAAAATAAGATCTCTAGAGAGATACAGCTGGGCTTAAGGCAAAAGGCACAGAGAGATGACACTGTGTTCATTCAGACATTCAGAATCATAGAATCATAGAATGGCTTGGGTTGGAAGGGACCCCAAGGATCATCAAGTTCCAGCCCCACTGCTACAGGATCCCAACCTCCAGATCTGGTATTAGACCAGGCTGCCCAGGGCTCCATCCAACCTGGCTTTGAACACCTCCAAGGACAGGGCATCCACAGCCTCTGTGGGCAGCTGTTCCAGCACCTCACCACTCTCTCTGACAAACTTCCCCCTGACATCTAATCTGAACCTTCCCTCCTTGAGCTTAACCCACTAAACTTTTCGTAGAATCATACAATGGCTTAGGTTGGAGGTGACCTTAAAGATCACCTACTTCCAATCCCCTGCCATGGGCAGGGCTGCCCACCACTAGATCAGTGATGATGATTTCTACAAGGATTAGCTGGATTCTTTAATAACTCATCTGAAAGTTTCGAGCACTGTACCCACTGTTAGCAGAAAGCCAATCTGCCCATCCTTGCTGAATCACTGCCATTACACCCTCAAATTGGTATCACTAACAGCAGTTTTGGAAGTGGACATGGGAACAAATGATACATGAGGTAAACAACCAAGGGCTTCCAAAGGCCAGCTAACCCTTATAGGGCCTTCTGCATTCTTATGAATGTCCATGTGCACCAATGCCAGATATCATAAGGATAGGATTAGCTGAATCTCTGGAGGAAGAAACATCAGTTATAACCATAGCATGCACTGATCCAGTTATTTGCTAGCAGCTGACCTGTAGAATAAACCAACAGAGATGCTTTTACAGAACAACCATCTCTGTCCTCCAATTAAACATTGTCCAACACCATTTGATAAAAAATAATTCCCCCAAAGCAACCAGTCCCAAAGTCCGTGAATAACTCTTTGTAGGATGCCCACTACTCCTCCAGTCTCTCTAATGGTTGGCTGCTGCACTGAAAGTCCTGGTACAGAACTTAGAAGCTATTAATTTTAGTGCAGATTAGTTACATTCATTACATATTACCCAGAAATTAATTTTTGCTTTAGTTTATGGCTTTATGTGTCTGTTTAAATCATTAAAACTGACATATCTCCACAGGTCTGGATGGGTGGAGGGGCTAAGTGGGTGGAAGGGCTAAGTCAAGTGTGCTACACCTCACAGTGATGGAAGGGATCAATGAATCCACAGCTTAGTCAAGTAACTTGGGTTAGTTTTGGAAGGATGCGCACTGTGATCACGTTCCAGGCCTGCTGAGTTAAGCTGAGAATTCTGTTATGACTTTCTTATATGGATTTCTTATGCTTAACACCTTTATTTTATTTTATGTTGAGGATTTTGAACCGCATACTTTGAATAGCTGTGCTTGTTGGATTCCACTAGGGTTAAATTAGACCTATTCACATAAGAATCCAGTCTAGTCACCCTTATCATCCAGTAGTTTCTCTCTTATGACTCAATCTGTTTACCCTCAGTTCACATAGCTGAAGATTTCTTCAACCTATTGACTTATTCACATAAAGATTTATCCCTACTTCCTTTAAGTAGAGACATACATTGTGTAAACGAGTTTTTTCTAGGTAGCTGTATTTCATCTTCTTTCATAGGCATAAGAACAGCTAGAAATGACTGACTTTTTTAGTCAAGAACCCAAACTCTGAAGGAATACCACCATAGAAGTTTCTGTGCCCTAGAGGTCTCCAAGAGCTCCTCTAGGGAACCCTAGTACTGCTAGAGCTTCTAGCTCTCCTAGAGTTCTCCTCAATGTGTTCTAGGATGTCCTGGAGCCTTCCTTGTGTGCCTAGAAGCCCCCCAGAGTACTTGAGAGCACCCTACAAGACTCCTGGAGCTGTCCAGTGTGCTCTAGGATGTAATAGAGGTTCCCCAGTATGCTCTAGAGGTCTCCGAGGACAGCCCCGTGTACTCAAGAGCACCCTAAAGTACTCCCAGAGCTTCTTGGTCTGCTCTACAATGCCTCATAATGGCAGTGAGTGAACAAATAAAGAAACAGGTGATTCAGACCCATAAATCAGAATACAACTAAACCAGATGAAAACTGAAGTCCATTTGCAATTTGGGAATACGCAGAGTAGTGACGTATCTTGATGTACTGCAGGCATTACTTTGGCCATGCTAAATAAAGCTGTAATAGCTGGCACTGCTGGATGTTTGCACGTTGCTAGCATCCGGCGGCCTGATCTGTAGGTGGAGGGTGGAGGAAGTTTGATATGCAAATGACTTCTCTGTTGGGTCAATCTGGAGGATATAAATATTGACAGAATTGTATCAAACAGTTCACTACAAAATCACCCTCTACAAAGAAAAATGGAATTATTTTACGGTCTGACATTAATAGCAGGAATTCTACTTGCTTTTTTATTACCGGTTTTAATTGAAGCCTCTTATCATTCCTTCAAGGCAAAAATTCCTCCTGAAGTTGACCAGCCATCAAAGCTCAGCTTCTATAATTGGCTTTTTACTATGGTTGAAATTCTGGTGAGTTTATCGTGCTCTGCGATATTGTGATTTTCAGGAAAGGGAAAATGTGAGTAGAACTATGAACATAGCATTTAAATATTGCAGCTGTGTGTAATGGGAATCGTATGGTGATGCAAGTTTGGTATTTTAATACTGTCCATAAAAGCTGCCTACATGAGGTGACATCTTTTAAATGCTGAGATTTGTATATTTACACTGCAACTGTAACTTGATTGCCTTTTGTGATGAAATGATTGGTCCAGTGAAAAACAGAAGGGCTGAAGACCTGATAAATGAACCTTCTGTATCCCAGGGCACTCTGGTCTATTTGAGGTAATTTCCTAAATTTTTATCTATCTGTAGTAATTGTCGTACTCATGATTCTGTTGTTATTTCTGCAGTGACTAAACTGCTGTGTCTTAATGAGTTAATACAGAATCATGTATACTGGAGGTAATCTAATCACAGGATCATAGAATCCCTAGAGTTGGAAGAGACCCTAAAGGCCATCTGGTCCAACCCCCTGCTATGAGCAGGGACACCCACAGCTCCATCAGATGCTCAGAGCCCCATTCCGTGTCCTTGGGTGTCTGCAAGGATGGAGCACCACTACCTCTCTGGGCAACCTGTGCCAGTGCCTCACTGTAAAAGACTTTTTCCTTAAATCCAACCTAAATCTCCCTTCTTTAGTTGGAAACCATTTCCTTTCAACACAGATACTGCTGAAGAGTCTGTCCCCTCGTTTCTTACTGTCCCTTTAGATACCAGTAGGCAGCTCTCAGCTCTCCGCAGAGCCTTCCCATCTCCAGGCTGCACAGCCCCCAGCTCTCAGCCTGCCCTTGTAGGAGAGGTGTTCCATACCTGAATCATTTTTGCGGCCCTAATCTAACCTCCTGATCAAAGAAAGTTCAGTCACAAGAGCTGTTATGCTTCTTATTTATTTACTTGTAAACTAGACTGTGCTATATGTGCTGCCAGCAGAGTAAGAAACAGCTCTTGCCAAAGACATTTTCAAAAAATACAAGACAAGATCGGACTAAGCCTTATCACATTTGGCAGATATCATTATGCCTGGACTTGATTTATGGTCAGACGTGGTGATCTTACAGGTCTCTTCCAACCTAAAATCTTCCAACCTTCCATGATTCTGTATCAAATGGAAGTCTGTAGGAAAAAGAGTGATTTCATGATTTCATTATTGTTTGTAAGGGGTTCATCTCAAGCAGCAGTGTTCTGTCATTCTCAAATTATATGTAATGTTCAGTAATCCTGAAAAGTCACTTTGGGTGATACAAAGACTTACATGGGTTGCTTAAACCTACATGCTTTCACCAAACCAGGTCTCTCATCCTCCAATGGCTTATGCCATGTGTACCTATCTACACTGCCTGGTGTGAAGGAAGAGTTGCTGTCCTTACATATTTCCGACTGCTCCTCATGTTAAGCTATATATTAACATAATACAATTAAATGACTGAATGTTATTAGGTCCTCTATGTTTCCGTACTTGGTTTGATGAAAGGATTCTTTCAGATGACTCTTTTTTCTGAAGCTGGTTTCAGCTGGGACAGGGTTGATTTTCTTCACAGTGTCTGGTATGATGCTATGCTTTGGCTTTAGAAGAACAATGTTAACAGCACGTCAGTGTTTTAGCTGTTACTGAGCAGTGCTGCACAGAGCCAAGGATGTTTCAGTTTTTCAGCTTCTCATACTGTCCTGCCAGTGAGGCAGCTGGGGGTCCCATGTAGCTGGGAGGGGACAGAACCAGAGAAGCTGCCCCAAATCGGCCAAAGGGGTTTTCCATACCCGATGATATAGTGAGAAAAGCTATAAAACTGAAGGGAGCTGACCTGGGGGGCAGCTGTTGTTTGGGTTCTGTCTGGGCATCGGTCAACGTGTGGTGAGGAACTGCTTTGTGCATCCCTTGTCCCACTCCTGCTGTCCTTTGAAGGCCACTAACTCTGACCCATTTGGCAGGCAGTCGTGCCAATGTGTGAGTTGCTTCACTATGCAACAACTGGGTTATAATGTAAAGCTTAACTTTGCTCCACATTGGGAAAGAAACTCACTAATCTGTATGATGAAAGCTTATTCAAAGTTTACACTGTTATTCTCAATTATTCCTCAAACCACCCATTTCGATATATTTTACTCTCCCACTTTCTAGAGAAAAGTTGGGAAAAAAAAGGCTTCCAGATAAAGAAGGCACCAGATAAAGTTTAGATCAGATAGCAGGAAGAACTGCATCACAGAACGGGTGGTTGGGCATTGGAATGGGCTGCCCAGGGAGGTGCTGGGGTCCCTGGAGGTAATGAGGAGCAGTGTGGATGTGGCACTAACACACATGGGTTAGTGATTGACCTGGTGTGGTTTCTTACAAAGCACACAGTGCTTTGTGCATTGTGCATGTGCAGTGAGAATATCCTGCTAATTCTGATGAATGTTGCTGTTGTTGTGCCAGTGTCATCTCCTTCTGTGCTCCCTGCCATGTATGTTGCAAGGAAGGCCTCTTTTTTATTGTAGCATAGCACAGTCTTCTGCCTTTTTGTTGAACTTATTTGAGGCACCCCTTAGATGGATCAGCAGTTAAGCACCTACTGGAACAGAGGTGTCACACATATGATGCTCCAGCTGCTCCTGTGTACGTGCTTTCTTGAAGAAACTAATGAAAATCTCAAAGAGAAAAGATGGGAGAAAGCCTACCAGCTCACAACATAGCTTCTGTGTTAATCCATTCCTACAGATCTGCATTCAGATCTGTGCATATCACACTGTGATAGAAAGCTCTGATAATTATTTTGGTTGGCAAAGCATAATGCTTCAAGATGAGTAAGAGAGAGTGACTGTCAAAAGGACTCTCCAAGTCCATGATGGACAAACTGAGTGTTCTTTCCTATTTCATATGTGATTTCTTACTTAGTTGAAAAGTAAAAATCTGGTCATTGTGTGATGTTCAATGTACAGAGAAGCCTGTGGCAGAATCTAGGCATTTGAGCAAACAGTTTTTCAAATTACTGCATGCTGGTTTGGGTTCTCCTTTTCTTATACAAACACACATTTTAGAACCTGGCTTACATGATATGTTCACCTGCTAATACAATCATAGATACCTAGAAATAGCCATACCTCCTCTATTTTGAGTGGACTGCTACTGTTTCTGAAGTATTTTGTAATTATTGATCAAGAAAAAGTTTTTCAGTGCAAAATTGAATAACATACCAAATTCCCCATTCTTCTTTATGGCAGTTCTTTTCCTTAAAATTGAAGATGTGTCTGTGATGCCAGGAGCTCCTAGGATAAGGAAAAGAAAGAGGATATTTACACAGAATGTTCTGATACCACGTTTATCATATATATTGTTAATATTTGCCACTTGAAGGCTCTGCTAAAAAAACACGGGGATGTTAGAAAGTGCAGGTGAGATTAAATAAACACAGAGCAGCAATGTGTTAACTTCAACATCCCAACATTGTCACTTCAACAAAAAACAAAGAAAAAGCAGAAGTCAGAAACATTAGGTTACAAAAGCACAGTGGCCATTAGTTGATGAGGCATTGATACAGTACATACATGCCTAATTCTGCTGCTCAGAACAGAACAACACAATTTGCAAATTGCTTGTTATGATTACCATCATTCCGTTTGTAATTAAGTCATCATTTAATAGGAAAAGAAGTATTGTGCTAGGGCAGGAAATGCATCACTTAGAAACCATTCTCAAAATAAAGGGGGATTCCAGTGTGATCCTCAGGTTATCTATCTCAATTATCAGTAATTGAATGCCTTTGGATAAGAAGACATTTTACTTAAACATACTTTGTTTTCCCTGCTGGATTTAAGAAACTGAAGAGCCATTTCCTGAATCCCTGTGGGATCTCGATAAAGGTTTCACAGATGGAGGAGATAAGGCTCAGACCATTCTCACCAAGGTCTTTGGAGCAGCATTTCATTACTGATTACAAGCATCACTGACTTTCTAAAACCTTGTTGTCACTGATCCTGTGGCTGGAGGTGATCAAAGACCACTCAGTTACTGTCATGGCTGGGACATTTTTATCTCACCTTACCTTCAGTCCTTCAGCTGAGCCATCTGGAGTGGACAGTCTCCCTCTACAATAAATGGTGATGAGCAGCCATTTCCAGAGCATAGCTTATATGCCTGAAGTTGGAACTGTCCTCTAGAGATGTCTTTCTCTTCATAGACAAGAAAAGGAGGCTTAGACCTCATGACACCTACACTGCATACCTACACAAATTGCTGACGTGTGGTAAAACTAGATTACAGAAATAAGAAGGGATTTAAAGGGGACATTCAGGGGAAGGAGTATTGCAACGTTCTTCTGAAAACAACATTATCTGAAAACAACATAAACCACAAAGATGTACATTTCCATTTCACAACTGAAATCACCGAGCTTTTTTAATGAAAATCCTGTACAGTAGCAAACACCCAATGCAATTCTCCTAAATATAACACAGAGAAAGGCTGCTTCTGGCCTTCTGTGGTCCCAACAGAGTGGAAGGGCTTGGATTTTCTATTGTAATTTCTTATTTTTTCTGTTATATCCAGGCAAATAAGTCAGCAAGTTTGGGTATCTGCAAGAAGCACGTACTTATCAGGATGTTTTCTAACGGACTGAGGGCATGGAGGGCTTCAGAGCTCCTCATAAAGGATCTGCACTTTGGTGAGGTGCCAGTGAGGATCTACCTCCCAAGATCACCATCTGCCAGCAAACGGAGGGGAGTCGTCTTGTTCCATGGAGGATGTGGGATGTACGGAAGCATAAGTAAGGAACTGAAAGAGAAAATGTGATTTTTATCATTATTTTTTACACACGCTCATTAATGATATATTTTTAAAAATTATTTTGAGCCTAAGAAGTGACAGAGGCTTAGCTTGGGCAACCGAGAGACATAACACGATGCTTGATTTTACTTTTTCAGTTCTTTAATCTGCCCTCGTTGAATATCTAAATTATTCTTGGGAGGATAGAGCCCTATTTATGGCATTTATATCCCTTACAACAAGTGGTGCTGCTAAATGAATGCATCTGTTTTGGTCTGAAAACGTGACAGAAGTTATTAACTACTGCATTCCTCCATTGGATCCCTTCCCCAGTGGCATACAGCTCCTGTGTGCCCCAGGTCCTTTAATTAGCTTGACTTTTTTCAGTTTAGTTGATTAGAGAAAGCAGATAATTGCAAACTTAATCAAAGAAGCTCCAAAAGATACAAACACATATTAAAAGGTGTTAGGATTCTGAAATTTAAGGTGGAATGTATTACTGAGCAAATGGCAACAAGCCAAGTCTTTTAAATGTAATAAAAACTGAACTAAAGTAGAAGAAAAACCCAGCGTATCTTTAAATACATTGTAAGAGGCATAATCCTGCCCACTAACTTACAGTGGAATGGTTTTATAACTCGTTAATGAGACAGTCATGTGGTCATCTCTGCACACCTCAACTGAGGTGTTACGCCACCAAGAAAGAAGGGAGGATATTGCTGCAAGTACTCAAAGATATTAACTGCATTCATGTTTGTTCTTCAGAAAGCCATGAAAGAATATGCCAGCACATAGCCAAAAAGTCTGATTCCGTGGTGGTGTCAGTCGGGTAAGTTGAGCTTGAAAAAACTGAGCTCTAGGAAAGTCTGTCCTTACACAGACATGTGCAAGCCAGCATGTGCATGACAACAAATACTGACTTGGGTTTATCAATAGCAAAAGCAATTATTAGGATGTTTAACTTTTTAATCCATAGATTTAATTAAGTAGAAAGTAGAAACAGTGCACTTCAGCCAACAGAGGAGGGTTAACAGGCATAGCTTGGAGAAGAGAAGGCTCTGGGAAGACCTCGTAATGGCCTTCCAATACTTGAAGGGAGCATATAAACAGGAGGGAACAGCTGTTTATGAGGGTGGATAGTGATAGGACAAGGGGAAATGGTCTTAAATTGACACAGGGAGGTTTAGGTTGGATATTAGGAAGAAGTTTTTCACCCAGAGGGTGGTGAGGCACTGGCACAGGTTGCCCAAGGAGGCTGTGGATGCCCCATCCCTGCAGGCATTCAAGGCCAGGCTGGATGTGGCTCTGGGCAGCCTGGGCTGCTGGTTGGTGACCTGCACACAGCAGGGGGTTGGAACTGGATGAGCATTGTGCTCCTTTGCAACCCAGGCCATTCTGTGATTCTATGAACAGAGAAAGCCTGCATTGCTGCCTCAGTTGCATTTCTCTTTTTTCACTCAACTAATATTCTCCAGAAAGATCACAAATGCAGAGAATGAAGAGCCATGGCCATGGAGGTGCATCTTGTTCTTATTCACTTTGACCTGACTTTCTTTCATCTAAGAAAGTACGTTGTTGGTTAAGAACTAAACAAAGAGAGTCTTATGTTGTCATCACTCCCCTGTAATCCATTTGTCCCAGTTAACAAAATAAATGAAATAATTGTCTGCAGGAAGCTATTTCATCACCACTGTACATTTACTGCATGGTATTTTATAACACAGTGTCATTATATTACTGTTATTATATTAAAGAGTAATAATAACACACAAAACCTCACTCATATATAATAATAAAATACCGGCAATGTGATGATATAAAATATAATGGTAAAGGTAATGATCAGTGTCCTCAGGATCCAAGAATCAGCTGGACCTTTGGGTATGCAGGATGTACATCCACGGTACCCACAGTCAGTGCAAAGGGGAGAACCGATGTCGTTTAGCTGGACTTGAGCAAAGCCTCTGACATGGTCCCCCACCACATCCTTATCTCCAAATTGGAGGGGTGTGGATGTGATGGATGAACCACCCGACGGATAAGAAACTGGTGGAAAGGCTGCAGACAGAGGGTGGTCAGCAATGGCTCTGTGTCCAGGTGGAGGCCGGTAATGAGCGGCGCCCCCCAGGACTGTCTTGGGACCGGTGCTTTAACATCTTCATTAACGACAGCGATGATGGAGTCGAGTGCACCCTCAGCAATTTGCTGACGACACCAAGCTGAGCGGTGCGGTCAACATGGTAGAAGGAAGGGATGTCATTCAGAGGGACCTCGAGAGGCTGGAAAGGTGGGCACAGGTGAACCTGATGAGGTTCACCACGGCAAAGTGCAGAGTTTTGCACCTGGGCCGGAGGAATCCCAGGCATCCATACAGACTGGAAGGAGAGCAGCCCTGTGGAGAGGAACCTGGGGGTCCTGATGGATGAAAAACTGAACATGAGCCAGCAGTGTGCATTGCAGCTCGGAAAAGCAAATGGTATGAAGAGGGGTGGCCAGCAGGGACAGGGAGGAGATTTTCCCCCTCTACTCTCCTCTTGTGAGGCCCCATCTGCAGCACTGTGTCCAAGTGTGGAGCCCCAGTACAAAAAAGACAGAGAGCTGTTGGAGAGGGTCCAGAGGAGCCACAAAGATGATCAGGGGGCTGCAGCACCTCCCCTATGAAGACAGGCTGAGGGAGCTGGGCTTGTTCAGCATGGAGAAAAGAAGGCTGTGGGGTGACCTCATTGCAGCCTTCAGTACCTAAAGGGAGCCTGCAAACAGGAGGGGAGTCAAGTCTTGGAAAGGGGAGATAACTGCAGGACGAGGGGAAATGGATTTAAGTTGAGGGAGGGAAGATTTAGGTTGGATGTCAGGGGGAAGTGCTTTACAGAGAGTGGTGAGGTGCTGGAACAGCTGCCCGAGAGGCTGTGGATGCCCCGTCCATCCCTGGAGGTGTTCAAGGCCAGGTTGGATGGGGCCCTGGGCAGCCTGGTCTGGTATGAAATGTGGAGGTTGGTGGCCCTGCATGTGACAGGTGGCTTGGAGATTCATGATCCTTGAGGTCCTTTCCAACCCTGGCCATTCTGTGATTCTGTGATTCTGTGATTCTGTGAACTGCAGACTGCACTGCTGGCACAAACTTTGATCACAAGCACAAACACAGAGGCCACAAATTGAGTAAATGTGTGGGTTTGTATAACGTGGGTGGTGGAACTGCACTATATAAGCCTCCGTGCTCTTAAATTATGCCAGAATAAAGCAATTGACAGACACACAAGTATGTAGAAAGTCCTGTCTTTTATACCTTCCAGGTACCGCTTGGCTCCTGAGCACAGTTTCCCAACCCAGAGCTTGGACTGTGTCACTGCCACCATCCACTTTTTGAAGACTGCCAAGAACTATGGCGTGGATCCCCATCAGATCATTGTATGTGGGGACAGTGCAGGGGGCACTTTTGCAACAACTGCTTGCCAAGAACTTGTGAACAGAACAGACATCCCGAAGATACGTGCCCAGATCTTGATCTATCCATTCCTCCAAAGCTTGAACTTCAACCTGCCGTCTCACCAGAAGAGTGCTTCCATTGGCTTGCTGTCCCTGGAACGGATGGTCTGTTTCATTCTGATGTACCTGAGAAAGGATTGCTCTTTGATGGAAGCTGTCTTGGCGGGTTCTCACGTTCCTGAGAGCATGAATTTGAAATATGGGAAATGGATAGATCCAGCTCTTATCCCAGAGAAATTTAAACAGGACTACAAGCCACCATTACCTGCCTCATACATACCCCAGGTCCATGAGGAAACGAAAGAAATGTTTGAGACAAGGTTTTCACCACTCTTAGCAGAAGATGCTGTTGTTGGCTGCCTACCTGACACCTGTATTATCACCTGTGAGCACGATGTGCTCAGGGATGATGGGCTGCTGTACAAGAAGCGGCTGGAAGACAACAATATCAAGGTGACCTGGCACCACATTGAAGATGGCTTCCATGGTGTGCTGTGCTTTTTGGGTTATGGCATTTTCTCTTTTCCCTCAGCAAGTAAGATAATGGATCACATTGTAAACTTTATAAAAGGCTGTTAAAAATGTCTCCTTCAATACACTGAACTACTATGCAGAGCGAGTGCGTTTCAGTTAATCACTCGGTATCAAGAAGTAATAACTTATGATAGTGCAATCTGCTGACTTCTGGCTTTCAGTTGCTCCTCTTGGAAGCACGATGTGGTTTCCTTTCTGTTTTTATCCATTAACTAACATTTTATCCTTGTTTTGCTTCTCTTTTTCTGTTTTAAGAATTTGTGTTCTCTTCTTTTGTCAAAGAACAAAAGCTCATGATTTATAAAGAAAAACTCACTTTAAACCCTGGAATATATGAATGACCATAAATGCACGCACATGGATCACACACACAAAAGCAGTATGAGAATACAGATAAAATGAAAGCCTGAAAGCCTCGGGAGGGTAAAGACTTGCTCACAGTCCCTGAAATGAGCAGTGATTACCACTGATTTATAGGCATATTGAGCCCATGGGTTTGGACTTGGCTGTAAAACCTGAAGGGGGAATGGAGTGTACTTGCAGATCTTAGCTTACAGCACAGTGGGTGGCACAGAAGGGAGTAACAGAAGTCAAAGCTGTTGGAGCTTTCCATGTAAGTATCTGAGAGTGGCGATGTGGAAGGGTCTTTTGGCCTTTCAGGGCCCCTTCCAACACAAACAATGCTAGAGCTCAATGATTCCAAGTGGAACCTGACAAACATCACTGAATGTCCTCTAAGCTGTAATCTGTGAAGCTCCTTTCTGAGGGGCATTTGCTTCTATTCAGGGAGACTGACATAGCATTTTTGTTAACTAATAATGCAGTTATTAGATGAGAACTTGAGGGTAAATTCAGAAACAGCACTAAAACGGCAAGAATACCTTCTGCTAATGCCCAAAGCAAAGGAAAAATAATAACCATAGAATCCTTTGAATTGCAACATGAGCATGGATTTGTTTTTTAGGACAGATTCACATTTATAAACGCAGATGCCTGGCTGAGTGCCAGAGCATGTCAAAAGAGCTGGTCATGCAATGCCTACGAATTGTAAAACATTTCATCATTCTTATGCAATCACTTTGCTCTTGTAATAGCCATGCAGATAAAAGTGTGGAAAGAAGGCAGGGAGTTATCTTTCTTTTCCATCAGCTGAACTGTGAGTAGGAAGAAAATGCTGGGTTAAATTCTTCACACTGTCACTATATTAATTAAATGTGGTGACACAGTAGCACTTAGAAACCTCTGGAGCAACCAGTAGTTACTTGTGAATTCTTGTGTTCTCTGCAAAACAAAATGGTGTTTCTTTGTGCTCCATGGACACAATAGGAATTTGGTTCCAATTTTCCTGTTGCTGGTGTTAGTAATTTACTCTTCAAACAACGAAATTCTCCCAGGAGTAAACAATGTGATGAAGCTTACAAAGTTGTGCTGATTGAGGATTACAGGATTTGTTTTGATAATAGGACTTAGTGTGAAATTGGCAAGTCATTTTGGTTTCTGACCTGACTATGAAGGCTGGCTCGCCAGTTGATGTGTGGTAGAAGCTGGGCCAGAAGTGCACCAGGATTTGCTACAAAGCAGTGCAAAATGCTGCTTGCATGGAGCAGTTAATCCATGGCAATGTCTGCTCTGCCACAGCAGTATTGCTACCTGCACAAGAACACTCACAGTTATCTTGGGTATGTCTGTATGAACTTCAGTCAAACCTGGCAGTCATCGGCTTATCTTTATTAAGGATCAATTTATTACACACGTGGCATCTTCACAACTGTCCTTTTATTGATTCCCAAATGTGGTTTCTAAAGTTTCTGGAATGGAAGTCCTTCCTCCTGTCTGAAGCAAGAGAATTTGGTAACCAGAGTGACCTGAAGCAAAAGTTCAAAGGCCTCAACAACACTGCATGTGACACATTGCTCACTGGTGCCCAGCCTCTCTAAACAGCTGCCTTTGCATCTGAGCATTACGGGCACTCGTTTCTGTCATCCTGCACACAGCACAAAGCTAAGAAACAAGCACACACACAAAGATTCAAGGAATCAATAGAAGAGCCTCCAAATATAACTTTCTGTGTATGTTTCTCAAATCTCCCCAAACCCCCAGAAGACCACTGAGTCCACTCAGGCTGTGGCCAGCTCTTGTAAGGTTACCTTACCTCATTCTCCTAAGTAAACTTGATGATAGGTTTCCCCATCTGATTACCTCACTTAAAATAATAGTTTTCCTTCACAAAATCCGAGATTCTTATTATCATCACTGAACTTCTGCACATTTTTTGTCTTAAGTTTTCCACTTGGTTTTTCTCCACTTCTTGATCAGCGTGCTGATGGGACCAAATGTGGCAAAGAGTGGATAGAGGAGAATGTTCTGTATTTCTTGGTAAGCAAATAGCACCAATAAAGCTTTTGAACAACGGTGTTGACTAACAAGTGCAGCCTTGTAATGTTGGCTTGTAATGTTCTTAATCCTTTTCACCATTCTACTATTTTGAAATGACCACATGACTGATAATTAACTTTTGCAATGTTTTGTTTTGCTTTTTGGTTGTTGTTGGTTTGTTTGTTTGTTATTTTTTTTTGCCATGTTAAATATCACATCAGCATCTTCGTGGTTCTTAGAAAAGCCTCTCGAATATGCCAATATGCAATGCTCTAAAATGTTTTCTCTGCTGCTTCCCCACCTCCCAGGCAATGATTGCAGTGAGCAAAGACTTCTGTGAGCTGTCACAATCCTCTACTCAAACAATGTGTTCCTTGTTAGAGAGCCTCTTACCCCATCCCACATTGTTGCTCAGCAGAGTCCTCTTCATTTTGAAATCCACTCCTCTGCTTGGTCACCAAGGCTGTTTTGTTACCCTTTGAACACTTTGCACATTCTACAAAGAGCTGAAGATGTCCCTACAATTCTACTTTGTGCATTACATGTTATGAGATGACCACCTCATCCAATGCAGTGTGTTATGCTTCAGGTCAGTTCAGCAGTCCACACATATTTTCACTGTTCATCATCTGGACCATTATCATTTATGGACCACTGTTCAAACTCTGCACTGGTCCATTATTGAGATTTTTCCATAGTCTTTACCTGCAGGTCTTGATTTAATACAAATATTAATTTGTTTATAATGCCTGCATATTATTAGCCATATTGAACACATGCATTCTAATCCGTATTGGGAATTACAGTCATACTGGTGCAGACAGGTAACTGGAGAAGAGCAAGTACAGAAACAATGTACTTTTCAGTACATTTTCCTTTTTCAGTAATGACTCCAGTATTCTCTAAAATCTAGAAAGCAGAACGATCTCATTGCGTCCAGGGAACTTCCTGTCCTCTAATTTGATTAATTATAGATCTACCTTACATTCTTAAGCTAGACTGCTTGTTCATACAAATACCTCATATGTTCACATGAGCTCACTCATATAAATGACATATGATAATTTCCACAGCTTTGGAAATTTTAATTCGTTTAAATATTTTTTTTATTTTCTAGAGAAAGGCACAGCAAAATTGTTCCTATCCTCTTTATTCAGACACTTTCTGACAGCATGCCCCTTCCACCGTCCACATCTTCAAGAACTTAAACACAAGTGCAAACTTGCAATGTGCCTACAGTTATGCACACGAATGCCTTTGGAGGCATGGAGTCACGGCAAGAAGTCATGCATGCAAAGAAATACTGATGGATACAAGTAGGCACACACAAATCTGAGCTTGTCAGCACCTCGTATCCAAGCTTACAGCCAATGGCAGTAGGCGCTGCTGAGTTTCACTTGGCTCGTTCAGCTTTCCAATTCAGCATTCCAGCACCAGATGGCCCTCATGCTCCACAGACCTCACGGAGCACCTTCAGCAGGAGCCCTTTCCCAGCACCTGAGCAGAGGCATCCCCTCCCACCTGGTGTGTCATGGAATCACAGAACCATTAAGGCTGGAAAGACCACTAAGGTCATCAAGTCCAACCATCTACCCATGCCTGTGACTGCTCTAGACCACGTCCTTCAGCACCTCCACAGACAGTGACTCCACCACCTTCCTTGGCCAGCAACAAAGGCCACAGAGATCACCAAATCCAACCATTAACTCATCCCCACCATGCCCTCTAACCGTGCCCCCATGTTTACCTGGTGGAAAGCACCCCAGTTGTGGTGGTGTTCTTCTGTTCTTCTGGTTTTTCCTCCATGCTTCTTATCAGTGCTTATCAGTGCTGCAAGCATCAAGTATTACTCTGTGTACCTCTGTGTACCCAAGAAAAACCATTTCCTAACTGCCCTATGTACCTAACCAGTTTGTTTCTTTTCCTGCTGCTATCCAGACTTCAGCACAGAGCTTTCACGTGGAAGCTCTAACAGTGATGTTGGGTTGTTGGTGGGCTGCTGTGATGTGCAGACCCAGTTAACACATCCAAAAGAGTCACAGAAATCACAGAAATCACAGAATCACCAAGGTTGGAAAAGACCTACAGGATCATCCACCCCAACCATCCACCCATCACCAATAGTTCTCACTAAACCGTGTCCTTCAACACAAAATCCAAACGTTCCTTCAGCACCTCCAGGCTCGGTGACTCCATCACCTCCCTGTGCAGCCCATTCCAGTGCCTGACCACTCTTTCAAACAAGTAGTATTTCCTAACATCCAGCCAAAATCTCCCCTGGTGCAGCATGAAGCCTCTGGTTCTATCACTGTTACACAAGAGAAGAGGCTGACCCCCAGCTCATTACAACCTCCCTTCAGGTGGTTACAGAGAGCAATAAGGTCTCTTCTGAGCCTCCTCTTCTCCAAACTGAACAATCCCAGCTCCTTCAGTTGCTGCTCATCAGCCCTGTGCTCCAGACCCCTCACCAGCTCTGTTGCCCTTCTTTCAACCCGCTCCAGAGCCTCCATGTCTTTCTTGCAGTGAGGGGTCCAAGACTTACAGCTCTTGGTAAAGTGACTTCCATAAGGATAGGCACTAAAGCAGGTTGAAACCAGCTGAACAGTGGTGGTAAGAACCTCAGAACAATGGTTCTGTCACAGGTGCTGCCACAGGGGCCACATCTGATGGGCACGGTTAGGCCACACCTGTCATTGGGACAGCACAACTTCAGCAAAGCTGATTAATTGCTTTCACTATTAAAAACTAAAGAAGGTAGCTGCAACCAAGTTTTGTGCAATGCTGTTTCCTAATGCTCTTGTCCAAGCTGTGAGAAAGCCAATTTGCACATCAGACTTGACGAGTTTGAATTTCCTGCTTCAATTTCCCAAGAGTGTCCCAATCTCCAGGCCACAGGTGACGTGCCTTTCACCAGCAGCCCTTATCGAGCAGGGTGACACAGCTTCCATAAGAAAGGATAAACAAACAGGAACCAAACCAACCCTCTGGTGAAGGGAGATTGGGAATGGGATGTTGGGAAACCAAAGTTGAAGAGGAGTTGTTGGATAACATGAATAGTTTGGGGAGATGAAGCAAAATGTGGAATAAACTTCTTAGAGAGTGAATCCTCAGGCTCCAGACTTAAGTTCATTCTTGTTTATTCTTTCCAATTAATAAACAGTTTCTGAAGTCAGGAATTAAATGTGAGTGGTTATTTTTTCCTATGCAGGTCACAGACTGTGTATTCTAAAGCCTTAGGGTGCTCTGAGTAAAACTGACCTTGAGATGTATATTAACATGAAACTTATCTCTTGAACTCTCTTTTGGAAAGAGAAACTTCATGCATTCGTTTCATCCATACCACGACTTTGCAGAGGGAGAATTTGTTGCATTCACAGTTTTGGCCTTCGGTAAAGGCACTGTTCCCAAATTACACCTTATGAGCTGAAAAGGCTTCATTTTACTGACTTTTGGGGTTTAAATCTTGGCACTAATGATTTGTGTACTGGGGAATATGAGCATGCTCAAGAGGAAGGCACATACAGAACACAATATTCTGCTGGTGTCCAAGCCTTGCTTCTAGTCCTGAAACTGTCAAGTCCAGGTGTAGTCCTCACCATCTGCAGTTACATTTATACCTGGAAAGACATCTGTAAGCAACATAATCACAGCACAGAGTGCAGAGACCTAAGGCTCAACCAAGAGGCTGCTGAAAAAGTCACTGAGCAACCGAGCGTAGCAGTGGGTACTTTCATCTGCTGGAGAAAGGATGTGCAGGAGGAACAAATCACTGGTGCTTCAGACTGCAACTGCTCCTAGTTCTGCTAGACTCAAAGATGTCACTGTGTGCCAGTGTACAATAGCAGTCAAGCAAGCCCCATCCCAAAAAGCAACCTGGCTTTGAGCTGGAGGTGAGGAGCCCAGACAGCCACAAAGAAGGGAGCTACTGCAAATGGATTTGCTGCACAGTTCATAGACCCTAGTGCTAAACTGCTCTGATATTCATCTCTGCAAAAAGCACATAGGTTAACCTCATTTAAAACCCCTGTAAGATTTAATTCACAGCTTTGGTTGTCCCTGGGATGCTGGATAAATATTCTGTTTGGCCTTTATGAATGAGATACGTTAGGAAATACATTAAGATCATGCTGATCCGAAAATTGAGAGTTCCTACTGATGCTTGTAACTGCCTAGAAATGACTTGCATGCTATTAGCTATTGCCTTGCACTACCAGAAATTAATCTTCTAAGTGCTACGTATCATGTGTGGTTACCAAGTGCTGGCTGAGCTCTGCAGTGTGACAGCAACGCCTTGGATTGGACTGGGCAGGGTTTGGAAAACAAGAACCAGAATGAAAGGTAGTGGTGGTAGGGGGGCAGTGGGACTGGATGATCTCAGAGGTCTTTTCCAACCGGACAATTTAATCATTCTCTATACCTCTTCACACAAAACTGTCATGCATCATTTGCTCTCAGTCTCCACAGCATGTCTCAAATCCAACATTAAGAAAAATCAACCCAATTCTGTTGGCTTCAGCAGAGCAAATCTGCATCTGATAATGCTCTTACCACTCCAATGTCCTTCAGAACTGATGCTGTCAGATATTCACAGGGTTAAATATTACCAATGGAATCACCTCTGCTTTTTACCAGCAGTGATTTTTTTTTTCTGGCCTGTGTATCAGCTGCTCCATTATTATTCTTATTTCAGCAATAATAAAACATATTTGAATGCTCTAGAGAAGAGATCATAGCACATACAAAAACCAACATTCAATACTATCCTTGCTTTAAAAAGATTCCATTCTAAGCTGAAAGATCAAGAATAGGGTAAATACATTCTTGATAGAGGTATATGTGTATAGATACATAAGCAAACAAGTAATTCGTATGACCAGCACCAAATAAAAGGTGAGGAGGAATATTTGCAATGCTGAAACCTAGATTTCACCAGGGGTCTGAGAAAGAAGGATGTGGTGGCACAATAAGAAATCAAACAGCTCTGAAGGTGATTACTAAGAAATCCTGTCCCACTTGAACTCAGAAATAAGACAGGCTTGACTGTATTCAAGCAATAGGGAGAGATGTAATAAGTTTTATCTCCTTGTAACACTGATGATATGTCAAGAACATACGGTAATGGGCACAGAACCAAAACATGTTAGCTGTAAATATGAAAAACTGCTTATGCAAGCCTCCCTCATGACTAATTGTTACTGTCTATTTAATTGTATGGTTTGATTGCCACATGCTTTCACCTTCCTATTGGGATTTTTAAAAGCTGGATGATGGGATTCTAAGGGAATTGCCAAACCTGTGCCTTTACCTTCAGAAATACTGCAAAAGTCAGAGGGGGAAGGAGCTGCTTCTTCCATTTGACTCCTAACAGTGCAGCAAGATGGCACTTCTCTTCACCATTTTTCTTGTTTTGACTCTAGTTGTGGCAATGGGATTCTACTATGAACACCCCACAGCAAACATCCCACCTGGATTCAGCGAGCGCAAAAAGCTTTATGCTTTTCATTACATCATGAACTTTGGTTTCGGTCTGGTAAGTTCACTTTGCTTAAAGCTACCTTTTAAATTTGATTTCTGATAGAGGGATAAGGGATCAGTGAAATGTTTTGGAATCGATATATATCAAGTACAGAGCTGGATTTATTTGGTGATGGGAGCACTCTTGTGGATACCTGTGGTTCAACCCCACTGCTTGCCATGCAGCACTAAAGCAAGCAATACAAAAAAATAAACTGCAGACAGCATAATACCTCATTTTTCCCGATGGCTTAAGTTCTAGCTTTTAAATTGTGCAGCCTCAAACAGCTGCTGCACGATATATGTTAAACTTCTGCTTTGCATAAGAGAGAAGGGGCAAGGCTGCACTGAGCTCAGCTCTCTCCTACAAATGCATGACTTCTGAGCCATCTGAAGGGCAGCTGCTACATTCATCACTTTTCTCCTTCACAGTGCCTGTGTGATTTCCTATTCTGAGTTTAAAAAACGCTTCTATGATGGCTAAGTCAAGCTTCTTTTAGCCTTTTAAATGACAAAAGGAAAACATTCACTTTCTTTGGGTTGTGCATGACATTTCACTGAAATTCCATGTTCTGCTGTTATTATCTTGTTCTTTTTCCCTGCTACACTGCTTATTAAGCTTTCTTTGAAGTCAGCCAGTAAGTTCCTGAGAATGTGACTCAGTGTGAGTCCCAAGGGGTGCCTCACCCAGCCCTGAACGATGCTGTGATACAAAGCAGTGCAAGAAAACAGGACAGGAATTGAAGTCACACAAAGTCTTTTTACACCTACTGCACTACAGGTGGAACTCCACATTTTCCAAACGCTGTGTGCACACTCTTTTTCCATCTAAGTTTGTTCTTTGTGCAATTGGTATGCAGCAGGCCAACCCGCAGAATGTAGAAGCTCACTGGTAACTCTAACCCTAACCCTAATGCAGTTCTCAGCTTCTGATTTTATCATCTCGTATCCTCACTGCTGGTCAGTGAGAGGCCAAGGAAAAACAGGAACAGAGAGGTAAGATGATTAATGTGTAGTTAAACAAAAGTATAAATGCAAGAAAGTTTGAGTCATAAAGTCATAAATCATGAAGGTTGGAAAGACCTCTAAGATCACCAGGTCCAACCAGCAGCCCACCCCCACCACTGACCAGTCACAATGCGACGTCTACTCAGTAGGAGCTCTGGTTGTTGCTGTTCAAAGCAGCCAGGTCCTCTCCAGGAATGGCCACCTAAACTGCAGGGAAAATTAAAGTTTGCTATGGTAGATCTAGACAAAAAATGCACGTGAAGTCACTGGAGACAAAACAGCTTGATGTAACTGTGCACAATCTAATAAGTTGTCTGAGGAACTATCTGTATTCACCTCTGAGGTTATACTTAAATAAGGAATGTCTTAATCAAATTTCTTCATTGAAAAATCTACCCATTCTTTATTTTTCAGTATTGGTTTAGAATTTGGTCTGTAAGAAGAAAAACTGACAGATTTTAGAGGTAGCCAGAGGACTAACTCCATCTGGGAAATTGAGTTGCAAACAATGAGATGCAAACACGGAGGGGCTGATTACATTACACTACCTACTGTGTTAATAGCTCTGTAGCTTCTTGGAATCAATTTCTTTTAGTAATGAGTGAGGCAGAAGGGCTGGCACAGCGTGCAACACACCTAACTTCTGTCTGTGTACCTGCGTGAGGAAAAGAAAGGGCTCTAACACTGCAGTCAGCACAGCCATCGCCTCCCTCCCTCAGGCAGCACCTCCTGCATGCTGCTGCAGGTCTGCTCCTCTGCCCAGGCATGTGTCTGCACTCCCACTTCTAACCAGCTAGGGTTCCTCTCTGTCTTTCACACTGCTTTCCTCTTGGAGCACAGCACTGCATAGTGAATCACCGCTGGTGGGCACTCCATGCACTGATGGCAGAGGCTGAGCTGAAAAATGGACTTGAAAGCAAAAATGCCAACGCTGCTGATTCTTATGGAGCTTCTATTTGCTGTGCAATTTATAACAACTCCACCAGATAAAAATGTTGTTTGCGTATTACCAGAAATAACTATGAAGATTACGTGTCCTGACCAATAACTGATGTTCTTCATCATGGAGTGGAATGCAGACACCCAGGGTCAGGCTGGAGGGGCTCTGAGCGCTGATGAAGCTGTGGGTGTCCCTGCTCAGTGCAGGGGTGGGACCTGATGGCCTTCAGGGTCCCCTCCAGCTCAAATGCCCTGTTATATGTGATAGCTGTACTTTGTTGCAGTAATCCACAGCAGATACTCAGAGCTAACAGTGAGGTGAATGAGAGCAATATAAACAAATGCCAATCTCTATGAAAGCTGATCAGTCGAAGTATCACAGGTTTAACAGTTGCTTGTCAGGCTGTCAGCATTAAGCATGGCAGCTGATATGGACTCTTCTGCCCTTTTTTGTATTTCCAAGACAACATACAAACAATGCAGTTAATTACAGGTGCAGCCCTTACTGTTACAAAAGCACTAGTGTGAAGAAACAATACCAGAGGGGAATGAAGGATTAAAGAAACAATTATTTCCCATGGTTATCATGCAGGAGATCAGTAGAAGGAACTAAAATGGGAATAAAGTCTGACCACAAAAAGATCCTTCTTGCACAGGGGGATCAGCTCCTGAAATGGCACAAAATGAGATACCTACACCAACCTTCACAGGACACATTGCTGAACTACTGAGATCTTTAAATGCGAGATGAAAGACTCTCACAATGGGATCTGAAGACACAAGCTGTATATAGAATTCTCTTTGAAATACACATGTAGGAATAATGGCAACCCAACAAACCATCCAGTCTAACTGTGTTTGGGTACGAAGCACTGCAGTATGTGAAGATGGAGCCAAGGATCAGAAGTACCCCTGTTCAGCAGCTGGCTGTGGAAGATGCTATGGAAAAACTTTTTTTAAGGGCTACTTTAAAGCCTAACAAGTGGAAGTATTGGCTAGTGATAGGACAATGGGAAATGGTCTTAAACTAAGACAGGGGAGGTTTGGGTTAAATATTAGGAGGATGTTTTTCACCCAGATGGTGAGGCACTGGAACAGGCTGCCCAAGGAGGCTGTGGATGCCCCATCCCTGCAGGCATTCAAGGCCAGGCTGGATGTGGCTCTGGGCAGCCTGGGCTGCTGGTTGGTGACCTGCACACAGCAGGGGGTTGGAACTGGATGAGCACTGTGCTCCTTTTCAACCCAGGCCATTCTGTGATTCTATGATTGTATGAAGTATTTGACACTTCTGTCTCCTATTAATAGCCTATAAATAGATTTATTCCATTAATAGAGACTAAGCCAGGATTTCACCACTGAAGAATGAGATAATTTGTAAAACATCACTCTGTCACCCAACATTTCTAACATTTGCACTAATTTGTGCTTCCTTTTCCTTTGTTAACAGGCAATATTACTGGAAAAACTTGGTATCATGTCAGAAGTCAGTTTACTCAGAGCTATAATGGATGGAATACCACCACTAAAAGATAAACGTCTTATTATCAAGGACTTAATCTTTGAAAAGGTTAAAGTGAGACTGTACCAGCCAAAAACATCAACCAGTGGCCAAAGGAGAGGAGTCCTCTACTTTCATGGCGGGGTTGGACGGTTTGGAAGCATTCGTAAGTCATGTACACACTGTAACTAAACATGCTGTGTGGTTACTGAGCTGATGGGGCATTTATCAAACAATGAGAAGAGGGAGGAGGCTAAGTATGAGAAATCAAAAAGTTGTGTCAGGACACGGGACAATTTCATTTCTGAGTAGCAGGCATTCTGTTACATTATCCTTATAAAGGTTGTGCACCTCCAACTCCTCTGATCGCTTCTCTTCTCCCTTATGCTTACGAGAAAAGTTGAGAAGTTCATAAGAACTTTTTTACGCAGATGTAACAAGGCTGTGAGCAATGTTCAGATTAGATCACACCAGCTGTGGGGGATTTACAGTGAAGCTATGACCACAGAACAGAGAGAAAGTCTTGAGAATATTTTCTTCTGACTTACTTTTAAAGCAACTTACAATTCCCCTGAAATATATTTTTATCATTATTATTTTCTTTAAACAGGGGCCTATGAAAGAACATGTCGCATTCTTGCTAGGAAAACCAATTCAGTGGTTGTGTCTGTTGGGTAAGTAGGGTAAATCCAAGCACACTGTCCTCCTGTCTCCCCCTGGGTTCCTAGTTCTTTAATGCATTAGTTTCTGCAACCCACACTCCCTGCAAACCACATAGAGCACTTGTATTTAACGATCACACGTGTTTCACTAGCACTAATGGCTCTTAGAAAGAATTAGTTCACTAATCCCCACTTGCTAATTTCCAAATAAAATCCATCGGAATAATTTGTAGCTACCATTGGATGTGGATGGTTTTATTTATTTCCTGAAGCCATGCACATAACTTGAAACCAACATTGTGTAATTAACTCTGCTGGAAGCATGGCTGCCCAGACAGCTCAAATAATTTCCTCAGTCACCTAAAGCATAATAACTAAAGATATGTTTTCCAAAGAGAGGATAATGCACTGAGCTCCCTCAAACACTAAAAGCAGTAAATAAAGATGGCTCTGAAAGTAATGTCTGCTATTTATTTCCACGGTAACTACGAGAGATACAAAGAGCACAGTAACATGATTTGATAGAGCAAATTCTCAGCTACAGAACGCTATTTTTCAGTGTAGTCATCACCATGAGCTACGCATTCATCTGCAATGAACCAAAGCCTGCGTGCTGTGCTCATCAAAATCTGCACCAGTGGAGACAACCACTGCTGCAGAAATGCACCCCCCACCCTCACTGCGCTCACATCTGCTGTTCCATCTCCATGAATGTACAGCAAGCGTCAATGAATGTCAGTGGAATGTCATTTTTCTGAATGGAGGAATTAAACACCACCCCTTTGATCCATGTGCACTTCCATGTCAGACACCACTCTGCCAGACTGCCCCTCTGCTGCCATCTGTCACACAGCAACAAAATGTACTGGCATATTGGTGGGAAGGTTCAACCTCTATTGCCACCCACCAACATCTGCATCCAATGCCATGGGCCAACATCATAAAATAGGAGGCATTCCTTTTGGAGCAGCCCTCGTACACTGCAAGCAATAATTACTATAATTTCTGTTGTAATTATAGTTTCAGGATATTTTCCCATCTTCACAATGAAATATATGAATGCACGATTGAAAAGACAGCGTGGGTCCACTCAGCAGATATGACCATGCTGAAACCCTTCTGTTCCCACATAGGTACCGCCTGGCTCCTGAGTTCCCATATCCAACCCAATTCCAGGACTGTCTCACTGCCACCATTCACTTCATGAAGACAGCACAAGATTATGGAGTGGATCCTGCCCGCATCATTGTCTGTGGAGACAGCAGTGGAGGGACACTGACTGCTGCTGTTGCCCAAGCGCTGGTGAACAGAAAAGATGTCCCAAAGCTGAGGGCACAAATCTTAATATACCCTTTTCTCCAGGCCGCAGACTTTAATTTGCCTTCTTATCAGCAGAATGCCAAAATTCCTGTTTTGATAAGGGAACGAACCCTTGTTCTTGGTTTGAAGTATCTCAATAAAGACTTGTCTGCTGTAAATGTATTACTTGAAGGTTCCCATATTTCACAAAAGCGAAGACAGAAGTATCAGAAATGGCTGAGTGCTGATAATATCCCTCATGAGTTTAAAACGAGAGGCTACACACCTCCAGGACCACCAGCACCGTACTCAGAAGAAATCTACAAGCTGGCCAAGCCTTTTCTTGAGCCTTTGTTTTCACCACTGCTGTGTGAAGACAGTGTCATTGCCCAGCTTCCTGAGACCTTCATTCTGACCTGCGAATACGACGTGCTCAGAGATGATGGACTGCTGTACAAGAAACGATTAGAGGATCATGGTATAAAAGTGACCTTGTGCCATCTGGAAGAGGGGTTCCATGGAACAATATTCTTGGCTGCTTATAGTAAGGTGGCAACATTCCAATCTGGAATTAAAGGCCTGGAAAAGATAACAAAATTTCTAAGATTGATGTAAACCTCCATTATTTGCTTTCACTTCCTGATTTCTATCTCTCTCTCCCTGCAAAGATTTTTTTAAAAAATACTCTCAGTTTTCCTTCGGTTAAAACATCTTCTGAAATTTCTGCATTGGCTCTGCCTGGTTTTTACCCATGAAATTGATTTTGTGAGAGTTTTCACTTCATTTTTACTGATGATTGAAGAAAGATAACATCACCTGATTTTGTCTACCACCATTTCACAGTTTTCTCCTATATTCGTAAGAGGTCTGGTACCCATGACTAATGTTTCACAGTGCAGTTTGGCTTAATAAAGTTCTGGTAATAGTAATAAATAAATTGAGATTTGAGGACAACTTGAGGGAAGTAACGGAGGATGGATCTACAAATTAAGTGCACAACAAGATGGCCCATGACATATCTGATGAAAGCTGAGTTTGAGACAAGCTTGAAGAAAACTGAATAAAGCAGAAAAGGTGTGGGCACAGACATAAGAGAATGAAGTCTCAGCTTTGCAACCATCCTTCAGTTTTGGGCTCCCCAGTTCAAGAGAAACCCAGGCTTACTGGAAAGAATCCATCACACACCAAGGTGACCAAGGGCCAGGAGCATCCCTGCCATGGCAGGAGGCTGAGAGGGCTGGGAATGTTCAGCCCAGAGCTTAGGAGGCTCTGGGGGATCTTTTCCATGTGTTTAAGGATCTGAAGGGTGAATGCAGAGAGAAGGGAGCCAGGCTCTTGTCAGCGGTGCTGGTGCCAGGACAAGACGCAATGGGCACAAACTGAGAGAGGGTCCATCTACATATCAGGCAGTACTTCTGTGCTGTGTGGGTGATGGAGCACCAGTACAGGCATCAGAGAGGCTGTGGGTTCTCCTTGGGGATCTAAACCCACCTGGAAGTGGTGCTGGTGCCGTGGGTGTGCAACCAGAGAGACCCAGAGGTGCCTCCATCCCCAAACAGCCAGGGACTCTGGGATGCTGTGAAGTGGAAAGACAGGAGGTCTGGAAATAATAAGAACTATAGATGCTGTAAAGAAATAAGGGTTAATGCAACATCTATTTAAGAATGCATATACACTTCTTTATACAGGTACAGAAAAATGTGAATGCACAGTAATATCAGTCTCTGCACAGCCTGAAGCAGAAAGCACTTTCCCACAGAAGGATGATGAGCAGTGCCATGGCAGAGAAATGAAAATGAGGGAGAAGGAAAAATAAAAATGCAAAAAAAAAAATATCAAAGTTCACACTGATCATAAATGGTTTACAACAAACTGAGAACAGGGATGAAGTGGAACAAAAACAAAATAGAAGACTATAACAGAGATGTCAAGAGGAGGAGAAAGGTCACCATTTCGTACCTGTTGGACAAGTCATGTTCTAAAGTGGGGCCTTCCTCTTCACTTGGCATATAAATGCTCCCCTGCAGTAGGCTTTGAAGGTATGATATGAAACTTTATATTGAACCATCACAAATTATTCTTGTTCAGTACAAACAAAGCTACTTCTCCACACGAGCTCATCCTAAGCTTCATTAATGTACAAAAGCAGAGAAATCCTCAGACTGAGTGCTGTAGGTCGCTTTTTGGGAAACATGATTAAGAAATTAGGTGAAATTTCATTAATGCAATCAAAAAGCAAAAAAAAAAAAAAAAAAGAAAAAAACACATGGAGATAGAGCATACAGCAAAGTTTATTTCCTTGAGAAAGGAGACTAATAAGCCTACAGCTTTCAAAGGAAAAGAGTAGCTGACAGGCAGATAATCCGTAGTAAGCAAAATATGTATGATTTACTTCATTAAACGCCCTGCTGTAGAGAGACATCCTAGGTTGGAAAAGACCTCCAAGTTCATCCAGTCCAACTGTCCACCTACAACCAATATTTCCCCACCGATCCCTCAGTGCAACATCTAAATGCTTCTTGAACACCTCCAGGGACGGTGACTCCATCGCCTCCCTGGGCAGCCCATCCCAGTGCCATTGAACCTGGGATTCCCAGCTGTCAGTAAAATCAGTTAGAATGCTGAGGTTAAATGAAGAAGAGAATGAGTTTATTGTGCATGATTAAAAATGATGATAAACTGTGAGCTTAAAAATCCCCTAGTAAACAGGACAAGCAAGTTTCTGATCAGAGTATTCTTGTTCAGTTTTTAGATACAGTTTATTCCTCGATGCCCAGTTAAGACAAATAATTGCATGAAACATTTTACATCTACTTGCATTGTGATAAAAGCAATTTGGCATTTAACTTAGGTCTTTGCTGAGGATTCATGTTGATAATGAATTCCTGAGATGGAAGACAAATTCTCAAATAAAAATGTCACTTGTAAACAGACTTGTACTCAACTATCTCATTTCTTACTCTGATATTGGACATCTGACATTATTGCATATATTTTCTACCCACCACTGCCTTTTTTAAACTATAATCAAAAACAAAGAATGCTGCAGACAATGATGTAAGGAAAGTCTTCAGCTAGAAGATACAATGGAAGGATGTTCTCCAATGCTTGGTATGGTGACCTTGTTTATATTCAGCAAACTGGAAAATGGAGCCTGCAAGAACATGTGAATGCCCTTTAGTTACACTCATGAAGAATAATAAAAATTTTTTTTAAAAAAAAGGAAAATGTACAAGGCTATTCCATCCTTTCAGAATGAATAAAACTTGAATAATCAAAATAGCAAAAAATCCACAATTCTTTCCTGATTTTGAGGCAGACAAATCAGTTTGTATGGACTTTTGAATGCTGACTACTTTGCACATGGGGAACCAGTGCCACTAATTTCGAGATTTCCCTCCTCCATCCACAGGGGTGGCAGGTTGTCCATAAAGTGACAGAAGAGCATACTGATCCTAACATACAGAAGACATGAGAATGAAACATAAGGTTAGCAACTGTCAAATATCGCATGGGTTAAAAAAAACCCACAAAGAGGACATGCTGAAGATACTACAGACCTTTCCTTTAATGACTGGACTAGTAATTAAATAACTGATAATTTCAAGCTTTCAGTACTCAAGGTAAAATCTCAGCACTAAGCTTCTTTTAGCAATGAGACCCTTTTTTTAGGCAAAGTATCTTACACACTAATTAGCCAGTGCTTCATGCTCTTTACAGATACGGGCTCATGATTGGGTCATAGTTTCACTTAATACTCCAAAGATCATCTTCTCACTGTAAAGGAACTTTATGCCGATATGTATTAATTATTCCAGTATACAGTTGATTTTTCAATGCTATCTGAATAACCTGACAGACAACTTTGCGCTCTGGGATCAAAATATGAGCCCCCAAAAGATGTTTCAATTGGTCAGTGGGTGGTTTAGACACTCCAAGGCTGTGCATAGATCTACCCCAGCTGCAGTACCTGACATTTTCCTTTGCTCAGCCTCAAGCAATTGCTGATTGTCCAATGCTCCCAGTAATAACTTGGATCTGGCCACAGAAAGTTAAGGTTGGCTGCAGTTTTGGTATCTGTATTCAAACTAAGCACTTAAAAAGGACTCATCTTGGTTTGGTGACCTGGAGCAGTTATTTGGACTCCATTCAGGTGGAGAGGAGATTCACCCATTTCGAGGAACAGAACATCTCACTGCTGAGGCACTGAGCTCCAAGAACTCACCCACATTCCAACGTACTGCATTAGCAAAGGCCTTCTGGAGAGTCATCATTTAAAAAATGTACCTGAACTGAACGACATCAGATCTGAGTTTTTCATCACTGAATGTAATGCACAACATTTGTTATCATTTCCACTTGGAATTTTTGTCACAGTTCAGCTATTTACAGCAGAATTTGTTAGCAGAAGTTGAACCTGGAGGCCATTTGGAAGGGCTGGGACCCTTCAAAGTGCACCAGGGGAGCTTCTAGGTTGGATATTGGGGAAAATTTATTCTCAGGAAGAGCAGCAATGTGTTGGTACAGCTCTCAGGGAGGAGGAGGAGTCACCATCCCCAGAGGTGCTCCGTGTGGAGATGTGGCACTGAGGATGTGGGCAATGCGTACAGCGGGGTGGGTTGGAGGTGGACCTGGTGATCTCAAAGGATTTTTTCTAGTCTTAACGAGTCTGTGATTCTGTGACACCTCAAAGCAGACTCAAGAAGAAAGAAAGGTTAAATCAGGATTTATGGCAGACTGCACAGATGGTGGCTTTCAGTCATGAATAAGAGCAGCGTGCACAAGGAGTGGCTACTAATTTGGGTGAGGAGGTGGAGATAACAACAAGGGAGGACACCGAAAGATGGGTAGGAGGCAGATACATTGCACATTAACAAACAGTACAACTTAGCATGCAGTAAGCTATAATTTCTGAAGACTACTGTGCTCCTGTGAAGGACACACTAAATCCTTCTCAGACATCAGAAGAGTAAGGCTCACCAGATGTGAAGAGGTCTAAGCTGTTTTCAGTCATTCCCTTGCATGCGTACAGAAATGGGAGCAGTAAGATTCCTACCTGCTCCACTTGGTAAAACTGAAGTCAGCTACGTTGCATTAGGAATATGGATGTCCTACAGCATCATCTGGGGTAGATGCATACACATAGCCAGGTAAATCACATTTACAGGAGTGTTTCATTTAGAAAGGTACACTAAAACCAAACAAAATGAAGAAATAAAAAGAGGAACACAGCAGCAGCAGCTATTAGTTTGGCTTTTACTTCCTTTTTTCTTTTTTTTTTTTTTTGCTTTATGTCTTCCATTTAGTTACTAAAGCTGGCTGTACTCGATCGAATCAGCACCTCAGTCATTAAACACCAGCACGCTGTCACTCATTAGCTCTTGTAGCACTTCCTGAATTACCTGCACTGCAATTGTCAGCGATTTCCTAACACAGCCCACAACCACCTGATGTCCACATCATCCACCCTGGAACTTCAACCTTGGTTTGGTTTGAAAGCTGCCTGACTATAAGACCGACAACAGACTGATGTGAAGAGTTTTGTGCATTCTCAGACTATGAAGAGGTCTGTGATTGCCCATCTAAGATCAGCTTTGAAGAAACCAATCCACGTG